TCTTGGGCTGGGCCTGACAGGAACAGAGCTTCATTTGATTCAGGGTTCCACTATGAAACGTGTGAAAGGATAATAGGGCGCTTCTGAACATGAGCAGAGGACATCCCTTTCATTCCTGACGAAGTCACGTGTAGGTCAGAAGTCATCTAATCCTACTAAAAGGAGTCCCTTTTCTTTGACCAACCAGGCATTGGAGTGGTCTTATTATCATTCTTATACAGCTCAGCTTCCCCAGACCTTAAATTAAGAAAGGCAGATAGATTCAAGACCTTTCTGGGAAGTTATCATTATGTTGTCTAAAAGAACCTCTGTGGATAACAGTTTCCATTCATGTTGCTTCCTCTGAGTGCTTGAGTAGGAATAGATTCATAATTTCATTTTTAGCTTTATGTGCCCATTGATGGCTGACGTCTGAATACAAAACATCCAGGAATTCCCCTGCGTTTTTGGATGTAGCTTGGTTTAAGATGCTGACAGTTTCTCAGTTGAAATAAAGGTTAAGTCTGTCCATGTGTTGTGAGGTTAGGGAGTTTTCATCATGTCTTCTGACTGCTAGTTGGTGTTACCACCACATGGCATCACCGGAGCAGACAAACCACCTAAAGCCATCCAAAACATCTTAAGCAAACCAAAAGACCCAGTAGCTGAAGAAGAAAAAACAGGAGTCATCTACAACTTGAAGCATAAGGACTGTAACAACCCCTATGTAGGACAGACAGGCAGAAGACTAGCAGAGCGCATCCATGAACACCAAGTATCTTCCTCCCCCTCCTCTGGATTATAATATGGTCATTTCTGCTCCACGTCAGAATGAAGAATCCACAACCAGAAGTGTGCAAAGTGATGCATTAGAAATCCTGGGAAGTAGACAATCACATTCTCTACCACTACACAGATAGCATTAAGCAGACTTCAGGATATTAAAACATATCCATCCTTTTCTCAAATATAATTCTTCCTCTATAATGGTGCTTGCTATATCACATGTCTACATTTCCCTGAAGCAATCTTTGATCATAGCAGACAGCTTTGTCTATAAAATGTTGAAATGTTGTTCCTTTATCAGCTATGGGCCTGCATGAGCTAATTTGTTAATCTGAGATGTATAACCTATAGGCAGCCAGATGAATCGATATCCAGCCTATGATATTCCACAGCTGTTTATCCAAAGATCCACCTGTATTTTTTAGAATCTTGCTTAGAATTTAGTACATGCACCTAAATTTATTTTCTTGGGAAAAAAAAAAAAGGTTATTCCAAATGTATTTGGGCAAATTTAATTGCTAAGAACTCAGGAAGTTCAAATTCCTGGGGACAGCAAAGACCAGATCTACATCTTTCATCTTGCTGTTTGTCACTGAAGACAAATTCCTTGTATATATTTTATACTTGGTCATTAAAGTATTTTGTATTTGTATTGTACATATCCAGAACTGTGGATTAGGCAATTTATATCAAAATCTGCAAGGATCCAACTCCTCCAAATGCCACATTTCCAGGAGTCTTCTATTAGTATCACAGCAGTTCTTAAGTGAAGAGCAGGGGGATCCTCTCGAAAACTTCTCCTAAAAAGTGCTTTTCTTCCAAAATTACATTGAATTCAGAGTACAAATTAATGAAAAATCAGCTCCATTTGATTTTATAAGCATTTCCAGAATTCACATCTGCAGCTATAAGGAGATCTAGCATGCTAATATACAATGAACTTGCTCTTCTTTGAATGTTGCAGTGCAATCTGCAACTAAAAACTCTATGCAGAATATGTACATTGGTTAAAATGGACATATATTCGGTAAATGTATAGAGATTTCTACCATGCTAAGATTGCACGGGCAAATGCAGGTTTTAAGAGAATTGCACAAAAATGCCTACAAGATAGAAAATAGGCATGAAAGTGTTACTGCTTCATACCAACTTGGACTGGAGAAATCAGGAATAGCTGTGATATAGAGCAGTACTGCAGTACTGCTTAATACCCCTTTGCCCCCATGTTTTTCTCAGTTGCCCTAGGAGGGAGCAGAGTTTTCAATCACAATATGGGGTCTCAGAGACAAGGAGAAACTTCACTCAGCAGGAAAGAGAAAGCATTCAGCCTTGTGTAACATGGCCCATATGAGGATTGCAGATTCTTCGTCCTTAACAAATTGTCCAAACTCTTTAAAAATAGTTTTGTCAGCTTTTCCAGCCTGGTGAGCATCAACAACTGTTTTCTGGAGGTCCTGAGAAATCTCCTTTGCTG